CCTGAACCTCTCGAAAGGTGGGAGCAATACAGGACGCGGCCTGTAGGGGGCAGTGTAACACAAGCCTTTTCCTTTACTGGCTCGTTATGCGTGAGAGTTTCCATTTCTTTAAGGGATGAACGTTTCAAACGCACCCACAAGGATATCTACAACTTTTAGACCACAATTGTGTCAATCTGTTTATTTTCTAACTTTTAAAACAATCCCACGTCAGCCTTTAGCTCTCTGCCCCTGGACACTCACACTTGATGTGCTGTAGGTGTGGCAAAAAAAAAAAAAAAAATCAAACCTTTTTTTAGCCCCTGACCCAAAAGGTGTATTTGGATGTATTTTCTGTCAGAATGTGAGTGTGGCCATGAGCCGTTGTGTGCCCCTCCCACACAAAGCCACAATAGACTCCGGCAGTGAGCAGCCAGGGTGCTATTATAGCCCTAATCCTGTTCCTATTATACAGCCCAGAGAGAGAGAGAGCGAGAGACACAGAAAGGGAGGTAGAGATGAAGATGAGGTCATCCCAAACAGCGAACACCCAGGGTCACTGCCTCACTATAGAAGCACGGGGATAAAGAGAGGGATAGAGCCGGGCATGCGGCCGCAGAGAAAAGGCCTGCCGGAGACCGAACGTGGGAGGTGCTCAGATAGGGGGATGGAGAGGAGAGGAGGTCAAAACCCCTGCCTGTAAAGCCCCAAGGTGGACAAAAACAAACCAACACATGACGAGGATGTTAAAGAACTTTGTTTATTTTGTTGGCATATGAAACCACACTACAACAGGAGCAGGAAACCATGACAATGGTCGTCATTTTTTCTTCTTCTTCAAATAATAATGTTAATTCTAATCAAATAATAAACTGTAGGAAAGTAAAAATACACGCTAATGGAATAAAATCAGTAAATTGATTAGAACAGTACATAAATAAATGATAAATACTGAATAAATAAGTGAATAAATAAAAGAACAATTTATTTAACCTACAACCAAACAAAATAAATAGCTCTAATGTGTGAAATCTGGCAATAATTTCATGGGACATTTAAGAAGGAGTCACCATGAAGTTTTTTTTTCTTCAAAAATGTCTTTTATCCCTGCATTGTTCAATTTATCCCTGGTAGCCCACAGTACCAGAGTCCACAGTGACCAGCTCTGTGGTGCTGCATGTTGCATTTGATATGGTGATTGTCTATACACAACAACAGTGTTCAGTCTGCCTAGAATTTGTTTCCTCAGTTTGGAGTCTTAGACACAACCACACAAATCATGTCACACACTTTTTTTTTCTTAGCCTGGTGGGATGCGTTGGGTTCCTTTGACTCCTTTACCAGTTGCAGCTGCTTCGATTGAGCACGCTGGCCCCAAACTTCCATGTCAAATGTAAAAAAAATCCTGTTTTCGAGAGCAAACGGCAAGTCTATTCTGTCAATGTTAACAGATGAAAGTCACAATTTTCCAACTAGCAAAAAAAAAAGGTAGATTTCTTTGCTCAGAACACAAAAGCAACAATCCCCCACTATCCATTTAGCACAATCACTTGGAGGATTCCCATTAAAAGGTATCCTTGTACATTCTTTAATCTAAGATTATTCATTTTTTTTAAACAAAGAATAACGAGTTTTGGTGAGCTTAAACACTTTGGTAGGCAACTGTGAAATATTAGCTGGCAAATACTTAACTGCATGCCGTGGACACGTTATCCAAGCCCATACCACTCCACATATCACCACTGCACTACTCAGACCTCTGCAGCTTTAGCAGCTTATTGTTAAAAAAAAAAAACTACAGTGAGCTTCAGCCACTCATTTGGAGAGTACCTTCCAGATAGGCTATAATATAATATTGCATAGATAACATGCTCGGTAGCATGGAGGACTATGATCGTTTGTTTTTTATTGCGAGATGATACATTTCTGATGAGTTTTCACAGTTATCCTCCTTGCCAACTTGCTCCACTGAAATCTGAAAGCGTGGAGAGCGTGAAGTCGATCTGAGTCCGGGAAGCAGCTTAGGTCTCAGTCCGAGCTCGCAATTTAAGTTAAGTTCTCCCTTATTTCCCCCAAAGGGTGGTTTTCACAGTCAAAAGCTACCTGTCAGAACTTTCACCTCCTCTTTCACAACAAACACAGGCACGTGCACACACACACACACACACACACACACACATACACATCCTTGTTTTTGTTACCCCTGCCCGAGTCTGATTTACTTATCAGTTATTGCTCCATGTTGGCTGGTCTCTCTTTTTTTTCTACATCTCTCTTCTTTTCTCTCTTATGTGTGGATCGTATTCAAAGGAAGTAATCAGGGGGTGGGGAGGGGGGGTTGCTGGTGCGCGTGGGGGGGGCGTCGCTGCCCGTGCTGTGGTTTGTGCTGAGGAGCTTCTCGTAGCGAGCCTTGTAGGCGTCTCGTTCCCTCAGCACTCTGGAGAGTTCACACTGTAGCTGTTCCAGCTGATGGGGAAGGGGACACAAACAACAACAACAAAAAAAACACAAAAAAAGGCACAATCAGAGTGTGTTTGGTTTGATATTCAGTCAAACCACCAGAGCGCCAGTGGTGCCAGACGCTGCGTAATTACCGCAATTACGCAGCAGTTGCTGAGTTTAGAATGTCGTCGTTTGTAAAAATGATGTTTTTTTTTGGTTGTGTTTTTTTTGTTGCAACTGAGAGCCGCGCGCGTGCGCGTTTACCTGTTGCGTGAGCACGTGTTTCTCTGACTCCAGAGCGTGGCGGTGCTGCAGGCGCTTGTAGCGGCAGGACTGCGCGTAGCCGCGGTTCTTCAGCGTGCGCCGCTTCTGCTTCAGGCGCACCACCTCGTCCTTGCTCACGCCGCGCAGGTGCCGGTTGAGCTCGCGCACCGACAGGCTCACCAGCTGCTCGTCGGAGAAGCGCTCGTTCACCCCGCACTGGAGAGCGCGCGTGGGGAGGAGGGGGGGGACACGCACAGACAGAGAGGCAAAATATGGCGTTTCGCCCCGTTAATTGGCAGCTAGACACAAATGCTCTGAAATGAAGTGGAGGTGTGCACAGCGAGAAGCAGAGCTGTCAAACATTCAGATGTATATATATATAGCACCGGGATGGGAGATGTGTGCACGCATGATGCATCAGACCCAACGTCTGTCAGGGGGCACATTTCGGCACCACATGTCTATAATCTGTCGTGTAATCTGACTGAGTGTGGGTGACAGTTATCAGGATTATACACAGCAATAATAGCAGATATTATCATAAGCTCGCACTGTGCTCTATATAAATATCCACGCAGACAGCTTGATCACCCGGAATACAGAGTTTATTTACTGCTAAAAAATCTATCCCGCAGGCAGCATTTCAGTTGGAGTTATTTCTAACACTCTTCAAAGTTGTTCCAAACACAAATAAGTGGATTTGCCTGTCACAGGCTTTTTATGCTCCAGTGGGTTTCAATAAGAAGGCTGCTATACCAGCAGATAATGCTGATAATAAACCACAGCACAGGTGAAGAAAAAGGGCCAAAAAATGGTCTTGACAAATCCATTTTAAACTGCAAGCATGTTTATAGAAATATGTTTAACCAGATATCAAACCATGTATTCATAGAGCTCTTAGCTTGTCTTTAACAGGGGTTTTTCCACAGTAAAGTGTTTTGATTTTGTGCAACAATTCAGACATATGCACACGTTAATAACCGTGTTCTATTGTCATTATCCTAATCCATTTATGGCATGATCCCTCTCTCCTCCCGTTCAGCCCTCTCATGCCACACTGCCTTCACCTCTAGATATATTCCTCATGGTTTCCTGATTAGCGCTACCTGTTGAGCATAATCATAATGAGCCCGCCTCGTCTAATCTGGATTGGTGTGTACCTGGTTGACTTGTGGGTGGTGATGATGGTGATGGTTGCCATGCATGGGGTGGTGTGGGTGATGCTGATGGTGTTGATGGTGGTGGTGATGAAGGCGGCCCTGGGGGCTGAGGGGTTGTGGGTATGGAGCTGAGGCGGGGACCGCGTTGGGGAGCGAGTTGGGTGCGGACGACAGGAAGACGAGCGGGCGGTGGCACATGTCCGCCGCCTTAGCGCAGGAGATGTCCCCCCCGCTGTCGCTGCTGGAGTCTCCCAGGTTGCTGCTGGAGCTTTGAGAGAGACCTGGGAACTGGGGAGGACCGGACAAGGGACAATCAACTCCATTCCTACGTGAGGAAGTGGTGGTAAAAAAAAAAAGAAGGGAAATCTCGGTTACCTGTGAGCTGACGGCCGCGGCCGCTGAGTTCAGCAAAGCCTCCACGGCGTCTTCGCAGCCCAGGAAGCCGTTCACCTGCCCCCTGTCTCGGTCCCCTCTCTCCGGCACTCCCCCCAGGGCTCCCAGCAGAGTGGCGGGCCCCGTCACCTCACCCCCGAACTGCTGCTGCAGCGCCGCCAGCCAGATCAGGTCCTCCAGGGAGGCGGGGGTGGGCCCCTGAGGGCCCCCGTGAGCCGGGCTGCCCTCCGCGTTCCCCTGAGAGCCAGAGCTGATGCCAGAGGTGAAGCTGTTGGGTATGGACAGGGGGAAGGAGATGGACGAGGACGAGGAGGAGAGGGAGGAAGAGCCGGAAGGCGGCGGATGGACATCGCTAAGCGTGGGTGAAGGTGGCAGCGAGTTGTAGGGACTGGAGCTCAAGCTGGAGTCCTGGGGAGGATGGCCGGTGTACGGAGAGCTGGAGGGGTCGTGAGGAAGGCCAGATTTGGGATACGAACATGGAGGAGGGAGCGGAGGAGTGTCAGGTTTCACCTCAAACTTCAGGAGGTCAAAGTCATTCAGGTACTCCATGGCCAGAGGGCTCGGGGGGAGAGGAGGAATGGGTAGGGAAGGAGAGGACATTGTGTGTGCTGCTACTGCTGCTGCTGCTACTGAGCTTCAACAGGGTTTCTCCGGATGTCAGGATTGCTGGAAAGCCCACTCCTCTGCCTCAGTGCGGCTCATAGACAGCAACAGAGGTGAGGTCAGGAGGCTGAAAGGTCTGTGAGTTCCCTCTTCAAGAACCTGTACGACCACGTGCGGTTGTCTCAGTATCTTTTGCCCTGTGGAAACAACAAGAGAGGGAAATTAGATTTGGAACTGGGGACGAAGAAAAAAGGATAATCAAATCTGTCATTGGAGATTTGTATCTTCTTTTTCAACTTTATGATCAGTCAACATGTATGAGAGTATAAATAGTTGCATAATGTACTTAGATCCCAACAGAACCTGCTGAAGAAGAACCTTCCTAACTTAGTTCCTACATTACCCATAACGCCTCGCTACTCCCAGCAGGTTGGAGTCAGACTGTCAAGCCAAACCCAACCTCAACTCTAATGGCTAATCCTTCAATATATGCAGTCCCTAACCACCACTCACAGATAAATGTCCCTCCCATTTAGCCCAAGTGTTTAACCCAGTCTTCACACCAACCATGTGAGATGGATACACAATGCTAATGTAGTGCTAAGACTCTACCCTTAAACAGGCGTTGTGCCCTCCTGCTCGGAGCCTTTTCCATTTTGAAGTTGTCCTTATCCTCAGTCGTTGCCTAACCTCGCATCCCTTGAAGGCCTTTTTAGTGGCTTTTGCACTGGTCCTTCTGGCGGCTTAATACACCTTTTTCTGACATAGAGGTTTACCCTGCAGATCAGATCCATGGTTGGAGTAGTCAGTATTGACTTATTATCAACACATTCATGGTAACTTTTTACCTCCCACGCAACACAATAATTCTCATTCTTAATTCATCCCCAAAGTATTCAGAAATAACACAAACTTTTATTCTCAGCTTCTCACTAATTATAAAACTTCCCTTGAAAGTGATGCACATCTGTTTTTTTCTTATTTCTTATAGCATATAAGACTTCCATGGTATTTTTCACAATCGCAACAAGGATAAGTCTTTAAGAAATGACTGGGCAACGCAAAGTTAGATTCTGTGTGCTAGCATGTTACATGAAGACACTCATCAACAGGACACCCCCCCCCCCTCCCCAGCTGCCCACCATTTTAATGCACACAAGTACAGGACTTTAAACACATGGATAGTATGTCATAGTGCATATTTCAACATGCTTTGGTTGGCGGTGTGCATCGTAAAATTCAATATAAAGTTTTTCAGGCTTAATATTATTAACATTTTCTAGTCCGACTGATTCAATGTACAATACTTCTAACATACCATTTATCCCAGTGAAAAGCACTGAGATGTCTTAATCATTTTTGACAGAAAGATCTACCCGTTTCTAAAGACCAAATCCAATTACAGTAAGGTTCAGACTTTAATCCAGAGCCAGGGATCTTCCAAAATGGAATTAATATACATTTTTATGATGATGGAAAGTAAAACTCTGCTTTTATTGGGAACTGATTTTACCAGATACTAAAGCTTAGGAAGCTACATAAGTTAATATTGATGAAGTTAGTCAAAACATTCAAGCAAGGGCTCTCAAACTAAAACAACCAAGTATGGCTCCACAATTAAAAGAGTTCAGTATTTTCCACCTATTCTTCACTGGTAACCACATCAAGGAAAGCTGTGGTAGAACAAAGCTCTTTTCCAGCAGCACTAATTACACACCATCAGATCTAATTGTTATCATTATCAAAACGAACACCTTATTAAAAATCCACCTTTGACTGGTGTCCCTGCTGCACCGCTCATTAGTTCTGCCCCCCGTGGCTCAAAATGGATTGTAAAAGAAAGCAAACAGTGACAGAGCAACACGGAGGCCTCGGCCTGGCCTGGGACCAGAGTCCCCATCGAACGCACGCTCATCGTGACAGGAAAAGAAAAAAGTCAAAAGGAAGCAGGCAGAGTTGAAACGAGTGACAGTCAAACAAAGTGATTGAAATGATCCTACCGTCGGTCATAGAGATGAAGGATGGTTACGAGCTCCTTTCAACATCCCCACCAGACACACACACGCACACAAAGATAACCGACTGACTGGTTGACTGACACGTTGGGAGAGAGACACAGAGGAAACACAGAGTGTGTGTGCGTCAATGCGTGTGTGCGCATGTGAATGTGTACAGCTCTCTGTCACTGAGTGCCACTGCCCCCTTTCTTTCTCTCCCCTCTGCTGCAAATCCTGTTTGCAACAATCCCCTTGTCTCTCTGTCTCCCCCCTCATCCCTCTCTCATGGTTCACAGGCATGTTCACACTCTCTGGCAATGTCTCGCTCCCTCTCTCACTGATGTCTGCCTTTCTCGATTTATCCCATTTCTCTCATCTTTCTTCTTATGTTTTCTTGTATTGCTCACACACACGCCTACAAATTCCCACGTGTCTTCTCCTTGGGCTGAATGCCATTCCTTACACTGAAAAAGCAACAAATTCACACACAGAAAACTAAAGAAAAGCCCAGCACAGACTTGCTGTCGGGTCAAACATTCAGCCCCATATCTACAGGCTCTCTTCATGATTACCCACTCACCACACAGCATCAAATATATTTATTAAGTTGCCTGCCACAAGTTGAACTTTAGACTCTGTACTGCCTCACTGTGGACATTCAAATATCAAATTTAGCTGTGAGGGTAGAGATGAGGATAGTGAGGATAGGATGTGGGAGAGAGCAGCTCTGATTGAAACTGCCTGTGATGAACAAAGTTGTGAGAGTTCACAGTGACACATTTATGGCTCCAGCTTTTGTTGGCTTCATTAAGGATTTTAAGGGTTTGCATGGTAGCAGTAAAAATCAGGTGTGTCACTAGCACATAGCCTCGGCCTCAGTTTAACTTTAAGTTAAGGTGAGACACGCCATTTTGTTCCAAAATCCAGTCCTGGTTCTGATCATGCCGTTTGGCTAATATTGGACCAAAAACCTCTCACTGGTTATGAGCTATGCAGAAATGAAGAAATCTATTCAAGTTGTGTCCATGCTTTCAAAGATGTTAACTTTGTCAGGAAAAAGAGGTGGAATTACCGACACCAGGTCTGCTGGGAAGTCACAGAACCGATCACCCAGTCTCAAACCTTGTGCTTGTCGTGCCTTTCCTCATCTGGTGCATCTAACGCGACTGCAAGCCGCTGCAATACATCACACTCTTATTCTTTTATTAATTTCTCATGGGATAAGCTTCTCATGTTGTGTGTGGGTTCCTGACGTGAAAAGACATTTTATACCTGTTGTTTTTAACAGGCAAACCACAGTGGATCTCTTCTGACTGTGGGGACCTTTGGTCCCCAGTGATTGCAAATATAGTCATCCCAGGAGAAACATCCATCACAGTAATGTTTGTCACAAAATAAAAACAAAATTAAGACAGTAAATAAAAATAGCTAAAATCGTATGTCTAATTTCACATTTTGAGCAATTTAGTGGTGTCTGGATGAATAAACAGCCTTAATGTAAAATAGCTGCATAATTAAATGGAGATTGACTCAAAATGGCTAAAGTCTGTTTTTTCTATTATTGATGTGTTTTTTTTGAGCTGCCTATGTCTACAGAGCAGAGAAATGCACAACAAGCATTTCTCAATGCTCCTTAAAAGCTAAACTTGTTAATCCTGAGTGTCTCTGTGTCTTAATAGTGTCTCGTTAAGGAATCAGTGAGTTAATAGCGCCTTCACAAATCTGATTTAAACCGTAAACAAAACGCAGGATAGGCAGACATGCTGATTCATGAAAAAAATACGGAACACACAGAAGATTAATGTCTGTGATAGTTTATTCAATCCTTACTGTGACTACATTGAAAACAGCAGAGAACTACCAATAAGTGGACATGTATAAAAAAAGGAGAAAAAATATTTTCTTTCAGCTTTGCTGCTTCTGCTCTCATTTTCAACCACTCTATCTGACCATCATTTGTGTTTCTAGAGAAAGCTTAGCAGCAAAGTCAACAGGGCCTCCCATGAGGGTGAGGGACAAAGAGAGGGAGAGACACAGAGGAACTTACCTCATACTTCATAGCAAACATTCCACCAGCACATCTCCTGGATCTGGAGTTGTGATCATTCTGCTGGACACTGTGATCACTGTATTGGATGGAGATGATGGACCTGGTCGTGGCAGTATAATTAAACTCGTTGGTCTTGGTTTACACGCATGACTGAAAATTTCCCAAGAGTTTTTCTTCAGAGATGCCATAAATTGACAAATAGCTGCAATATCAAGGTCTGAAAGTATGGAAGCTGATGCACCAGTAAGCTGCAGTTTTTCTTATAGCCAGCTGGACATGACTCATCTTATTTAATACAAATCCTAATAAAATGTTTCTTAAAAAGGGTCAATTTGTTCAAAATGGTCTATAATAGGAAAATAGACTTTGGTGTGTTTTGACCTCTAACCTTTTCTGTTTGGAACAACCAATGTATCAAAGGATGACCTGCTGCTTTAAATATGATGTAGACGGGCTTAGGCCAAATGTCAGCATGTAATAGTGTTGGAAATGATGGAATGTGTTCTATGTCAACTTATGTTCTACTAAATTCTTTCTCCACTGGTAACTTTGAAAACGAACCCCTTTAGGAAACCATATACAGTGTTTGTATCATTCAATACAAACACTGTATTTACAACATTAAACATTTTTTATTCATATCTAAGTCTGTATTTACATCAGGAAATGTCTGGGTACACAGCTACCATGAAGTCCAGCATAAAATATTCATTCAAAACCATGTGTCACAATGAATATTGCGGTTTTAAAACTGGTAAAAAAACACTAGAGTAAATGACCTGGTCTTATACATGATGGTCAGTTAATTACAGTATGTCATCGTTTTAAAGAAATCCCTTCACAAACCTTTTTTCGAGACTTTTGGTGTTGTTTTCCCATTCCAAATTGTCAAATTTACC